GCATTTTATGTGGGGACACAGTCGACTGTATAAAACAGATTTCTATAAAACCGGCTTCTATAAATTTGACCTAATTTCGTAGTGTAGACATACCCAAAGGGACCATTCAAGGTGAAGTGGCCCATTAACACCTCTGTAGTCATAGGACAAAAAGGAGGGTTGGCTACAGATTGTTGTAATAAGTCCTAAATCCAGTGTCTTTATTAAAGGGAACCCAGGCAGATACAACTCCCAGGCAGAGAGTGGCTACAGCACTCTCACTGAAAGAATATGGGGACTCTCAAAAATCATCCTGAAGCCACTCACCGCACAAAGGGCCAGCTTCCTCCAGGACACAACTGACTTCCTCCACAAACTCCACAACATTAACAACCTTCCTCAGAACACCATCTTTGCCACCATGGATGTCACTTCCCCATACAACAACATTCCTCACAATGAAAGCATAGCTGCCTGCCTCAAATATTTACAAGACAATGGACAACCCTCAGATATCCACCCCAAACACAATCGCATAACTCATCCATTTCATCCTCACCCATAACAATATTATGTTCAACAATAAACACTTTGTGCAAACCATAGGAACAGCTCTGGGTACTAGGATGGCTCCCCAATACGCCAACCTCTTCCTGGGCCGCCTTGAAGAATTTCTAGACAAACATACCACAAAACCATTGATATACCTGAGATACATAGATGATATTTTCAGCCTCTGGACAGACAACTTAAATTCCCTCAGATTTCCACCACAACTTCAATAATTACCATTAAACTCTCTCTGGAACACTCCCAGACTAGCATTAACCTCCTGGACACCATAATCAGCTTCAGCAATGGAACACCACAGACAACTATATATAAGATACCCACAGATCACCACACTTAACTTCATAGATCCAGTAATCACCCCAAACTCACCAAGAAATCAGTTATCTACAGCCAGGTCCTCGGATACCACAGAATATACTCTGAAGAGAAAATCCGGACTATACATCTTAAAACATGCAAAGCTGCTTTCACCAAACAAGGACACTTCACCAGAGAAGTAAATGTAATCATGGAACAGGCCGCCCAAATACTCAGAGAGAACCAGCTTCAACACAGAAATAAAACTCCCTCTGATTTTACACCCCTAGTTGTCACCTACCACCCCACACTGGAATCCATCCGAGATATCAAACAAGTAAAACACATACTTGATGGGGACCCTATTCTGAAGAAATCTTTCCTTAATCCCTGCTTCAAACCACCCCCCAAACTCTTCAAGATCACCATCAGAAGCAAGCTCCCCACAGACCAAGACACACTATCTCTAAGTAGCACCAGACCCTGCCAGAACCCTCCTCTGATACGATGATCAATACATCCAACTCCCCCCCATACACACACAATACACCTTTCAAGATCCATGGGTGCTAGACATGCCTATCACAACATGTGGTGTACCTCATCCAGGGCACTAAATTCCCCAACTACAACTATGTGGGTGAAACCAGACAATCACTATGCTCTTGAATGAGCTAACACAGGAAAACAGTAAAAGAAAAACACCACATCGCCTGTGGGTGAACAATTTTCACTAAGTGATCACTCTATATCTAACCTATCAGTCCTCATCCTCAAAGAAAACCTGCTCAACATTTTCAACAGATGAGCCTGGGAGCTTAAAATCACAACTTTGCTATACACTAAAAATCATGGTCTTAATAAAGACACTGGACTTATGGATTATTACAATGTGTAACCTACTAACCCCACTTTTTATCCTATGACTACAGGGGTGTTAACAGGCCACTTCACCTTGAATGGTCCCTCAGAATATGTGCTAGCTAATTATGCTAAATTAGCTAAATACAAGGTCAAACACCTATGACACTGTTTCAGAGTAGCAGCCGTGTTAGTCTGTATCCGCAAAAAGAACAGGAGTACTTGTGGCACCTTAGAGACTAACAAATTTATTAGAGCATAAGCTTTCGTGGACTACAGCTCACTTCTTCGGATGCATATAGGGTGGAATATATATTGAGGAGATATATATTGTTGTGTGTATATATATCTCCTCAATATATATATTCCACCCTATATGCATCTGAAGAAGTGAGCTGTAGTCCACGAAAGCTTATGCTCGAATAAATTTGTTAGTCTCTAAGGTGCCACAAGTACTCCTCTTCTTTCTATGACACTGTGAGTACCTTTCCCAGACCTGAGGAAGAGCTCTGTATAGCTCAAAATCTTGTCTCTCTCACCAACAGAAGTTGGTCTAATAAAAGATATTACCTCACCCACCTTGTCTTTCTAATATCCTGGGACCAACACGGCTACAACACCACCGCACTCAATTGGTGCGGCAGATCCCAAGAGAGGAGAGTCTTCAGAGAGCCAGCAACTAGGCCAGGTTGTGGTTTATGAATCAATGTCATAACCTTGAACTGTACTCAGAAAAGAATAGGAAACCAGCACAGCTATTGAAGAACAGGTGTACCGTATTTTCCGGCGTATAAGACGACTGGGCGTATAAGACGACCCCCAACTTTTCCAGTTAAAATATAGAGTTTGGGATATACTCGCCGTATAAGACTACCCCTCTTCCAACGCACACCAAAAAAAAATTAAAAAAACATCAGATTTGATTTCAATATGGTAATTTTAATTCAAATGCTTATGACATG